AAAAAGGAGAGAGAGAGAGAGAGAGAGAGAGAGAGAGAGAGAGAGAGAGAGAGAGAGAGAGAGAGAGAGAGAGAGAGAGAGAGAGAGAGAGAGAAAGACTGTGAAAGAGTTACATGTACTGAGAGAGAGACAGAGAGAGAGAGAGAGAGAGAGAGACAGAGAGAGACAGAGAGAGAACACACCCGTGCTGATATATTTACGAGCACACAAGCCGGCAAGCCATGTCAGATAGCGTTATGGGCCGTTAGTGACAAAGTCCCGCAGTACTAGATGACCAGTGGCCGGCATGGACGTAATTTACGCGCTTAACCTCCGCCAGCCAGTCTCCTGGGCGACTTCCGACCTGCTCTGGGATGGGAGAGAGGAACATGTACAGGAAATAAGGATGCCCAGGCTAGATTGTGTGGGTGGCTGGCGGGTGCTCTGGTCGTGTGGTTTAAACTTCTTTTTTTTTTCCTCAAGAACGTCTATCGTTCTTATAATTATCTCCTCTTTCTTTTCTTTTCTTTTTTTTTTTTTACTTGTATTTTATACATGTATATTTGTAGGCACGTATATAGCTAATCGTGTTGCAGTGCATTAAAATTTGACCAAAAAAACCCCAAAACAAAACAAAGCAAATTAGAAACAACAACAAAAGAACCTCCTAAAGGATCAGTAGATTCATTAATATGGGCAAGTCATCATTCACTCGCTGATTGCTTTATTAGTCACTATGAGACGATGCAACTTTTTATGGAACCATAGACCCCCTCCCCCCAATACAAAGCACACCTTAAAGAAGCAAAAACTAAAAAGAAACCAACAACAGCAACAACAACGACAACAACAACAACAACAACATCAACAACAGCAATTGGCAACGGCAATAATAGCAACATCCGCAGCAACAACAATATTAATAATTGAAGCAAGAGCAACAGGTACTTCTCCAACACCATCATTAACAGCAACAACAACAACACAACAGCAACAACAACAAAAATAACAACAACAACAACAACATCGTCATCAACCTAATAATAATAATGATAATAATAATAATAATAATAATAATAATAATAATAATAATAATAATAATAATAATAGACTACTGGGTTTTTTAAGGTACTTGATATAAAGACAGCTGTGATTTGGGGCATCAACATTTATCCAAATCCGGTCTAGTTCACTCTGTAGGGCCTTGTGTATTTTTGTAAGCTATCTTTCTGTATGAACAATTTTTTTCAGTAATCTATACTAAACCTCTGAAACGGGGTAAAATGTATTGAAAAACTACTTCAATGATGAAAATAATAAAAATAAAAGCTGGGAAACTGAGAATGTTTCTGGGTGTTCTATGGTCTGCTGGGGTAATAATATAGTGTAAAGTGCCCAGAGCTTACTGTCGAGCGAGACATGTGCTATACAAATGCTATTTATTATTATTATTATTATTATTATTATTATTATTATTATTATTATTATTATTATTATTATGATTATGATTATTATGATTATTATGATTATTATCTTCATCATGTCTGTGTTACTATTATTATTTTTTTATTATTATTATTATTATTATTATTATTATTATTATTATTATTATTATTATTATTATATTTTTATTATTATTATTATTATTGTTATTATCATTATTATTATTATTATTATATTATTATTATTATTATTATTATTATTATTATTATTATAATACTGTTTTTTTATTCAATCTCATGTGATCTAAATTTGTTCTCTTTCTCTTCCCCTGCAGACGGCGGCGACTCGGAGACGAAAAGGTCAAGGACGTCGTACACACGTCACCAGACCCTGGAGCTGGAGAAGGAGTTCCACTACAACAAGTACCTCACTAGAAGGAGGCGCATCGAGATCGCGCATGCGCTCAACCTGACGGAGCGACAGATCAAGATCTGGTTCCAGAACCGGCGAATGAAGTGGAAGAAGGACCACAAACTGTCGCACATCGCCAAAAACATGAACCTAGCCAATGCCCTGGAGAAGGCGGCCGAGGAGCAACAGGCGAAGCTGAGTCAGATGGTCATGTGACCGAACCTAGAGACGTAGACAGAGGTCATGCCCACCATTTGATGACGTCATTTCGATGTGTAGGAAGATGACTTTGCTCGTTTTCCCCACGTTGGTACTGTGAGCCAGTGAATTGGAACACTACTTTTCATCCTGGGACATTTTTTTTCTGATTACGCACTCTCGCTGACGATGACAATAGTCGACAGAACGCGAAGCATTTGTTACAGTATATTATGTGAGATGTAACCAAGGAAGTTTATTCTGTAGATGGTCGTAGGAAAAACGTATCTTTGATGAAGTCATTTCGCAAAACATGACACCCAAAGTTATGACATTTCCACAAGTCTTTTCTGCTCTGCTTTAAAATACTGACCTCCTAAATAGTCTTGTTTCTGTGGAACAACAGACGAAAGTGGTTTGAGAAGGGACCTCTCCTACTGGTAATCTCTCCCTTATATCAAATGACGTTATGGAGAGCAGGAGCCTGGTATATCAGAGGTGTGAGTACATTATTTTGTCATCCGAAACTCTCATCTTATTAGGCAGAGTAAGCTCTCGGAGAAACGACGTGGAATGTTAGTAGTATTGTTTTAAAAGCTCTTGTAAGAGTTTGACGATTCTTACAATACATTTACATGATATAGGTGCCGTAGATTAGAGATGTTACTAGAGAGTATCATACAAAGAAAAGATGGAGGAGAGATAAGGACGATAGATGTTTGATGAGAAAGAAGGAGAAAGCCCCCACCAAAGCACATGTCAACAATCCACATGGATTGTTAAGTCTGTAATTACGCAAAGGAAATTGAAGTTTGTTGGTCCTTCGAAGACGCTGCCTTTGTAAAGGTAAACACTTGGCTTGGGTAGTAGAGACGCATCCACTTTGCTCTGAGCACCTAGGTAGAGGGACATACACTACTTTGCTCTACAACTTACAACTGTCATCCGCTATGGACATTTTAGACACTGGAGCAACAGCCAAAACTCCTTCATATTAAGGTGATAGAAAGGAGCTTAGCAGCCACCCCAAGACGTGTTTGAAGATGAAATGTTGGACTATATTATGGAGATTGCTTTGGAAGTGCTGGTTGATTCAGTGTTCTGAACCTATCACAGCTATGAGACAGAGATAATTCATTTCTCTGCCCAGGAGAGGTCTGTTTGACGTGTGTGATCAAAAATTACAATTCGGATACTTTGGGGAGTTTCTTCGGTCATATGAAAACATTATCACTTACGAATGTGTGTAAGAGAAACAGGTCGTTGTCTTTTTTGTAGGGATAGATCTATTGGTGTGTTTGTGGTGAAATTTGGAAATTCTTCTCTTTGCCCGTGAACGACGTGAGTTTGGTTCCTGGGTGGAACATAATGTGTTTTATAATTCTACAGATCTCCGTCTTTCTGCAGGGAGGTGCATTGTAGTTTCCCTCACGGTCCAGATTAGCCATGACAGTGTCACAGTGGATGTGGCGGATCATGTAACTCTAAACCAGCTCTGGTCAAAGTTTTTTGTTCAGAAAGTAACCACTTTTGTCCCATTCAACCCTATCCGTACGCCGTGTTTTACTATCGTATGCATATGACGTAGGGAACTCTGTACCACCACTTTCTAAAGAGGAAATTTACCCGTTAATCCGGTCAGTATGCTTTGTATTGCAGTCTGCAAACATTTTTATTTGAGAAATACTCAGTTTCAAAGAGATCTTCGCACTAGAAGTATTCTAAAATGTGAAGAACGCAACTCCGGGGGTACAAAATGACCCAAGGGCGTACGGATAGGGTTAAGAGACTGACATTTCACATCACAGACCTGAAATCATTTCCAAGTGGGACATCGAATAACGCCTGTCTCTGCACGGGTGATCCCCACTGGCCACAAGGACTGCCAAACAGTCATCCCACTAGAGGGTACAATTGCCCAGGCGAGAAAACTTCGGTCTAGCTTGGCTCGATGGGGATGTAAAATATCTGCACTCAAGAAGGTTTCCTCGAGACAGGACACATCAAATTTTGATTAGACAACAGCAGAAAAGTGTGGTGACCATTTGAGAAACTGAGGGAACAGCTAGCGTTGTGGCAAGTCAACATTTTTTACTCATGTCGTCTGTTTTTGGCTTTGTCCAACCAATGAGTGATGGTGTAAAAAAAAAAAAGTTGACCCCACCCTTGAGGAAATTTTCAAACTCTTTTGGTAGTGGTTGTTCGTTTTCTCACCACAGAAGCCGGTCCGCAATGAGACATTCCATGGGGCGGTGACCGCGAAAGCACGAAGCACGTTATGTTTGTGGAATAATAATATGCCTGATGAAGGAGAATGATGCAGAAATAATAGGAAGTGCCGACAGTGCAGGAAAATATCTTCCTTTAAGATTTTCACTTTTTGTTTGACAGAAGTCATCATCATCCAGTGTCAAATCTGCGACAGACATCGGCGATCATGGTTCTCCATTCATTCCTTTGCTCGGATTCTCTTTAAAAAGCTACGTTTCCCTGATCTTTTCCCCTTACCCAGAAGTACACAACAGTAAACGATAAAGACTCTGGCTCACTGCTAGTCTGTGTTCGCAGTGACACGTTACTCACAGCTTTCTGAACTACTGACGTCATACACTTCCCCTTACAACTTGGTGGACTACTGACGTCATACACTTCCCCTTACAACTTGGTGGACTACTGACGTCATACATTTCCCCTTACAACTTGGTGGACTACTGACGTCATACACTTCCCCTTACAACTTGGTGGACTAAACTGACGTCACACTCTTTCACGTACTACTTGGTTGACTAAACTGACGTCATCTCATCACGACAACAGCCACAGACTCCAGGCAACGACAGAAGTCACGAGAGACGGCATGTGGACCAACAGTCTACATGTCGCTCTTTCGCGTAAGGTAAAAAAAAAACCCAAAACAAAACATATTATGAATCTCCGCTTTGTTTTGTCTGAGCATGTATACAGGAGTATTTCTTTGTGTCAGCGCTGCACCAGTTCACATTTTCGGAGGGATTGTTTTGTATAATAATATATTTGTTCCATTTCACACAACCACATTTCTTCACTTAAAGATGCCAATCCTATTTTCGAAGGAAAGGTTGAAAAGTCTTTATTAAAAGGATTTATTTCATTTGTAGTCAGATTCTTACAGCACCAGTCACTGGCACCTTGTTTATCTGTAATTAACCCAGAAAGCAAACATTTTAAGACAGCGGAAAAAACAGTGTTTTCTTCTTTGAAAGACTGAATTTTAATTGTGTATCTTTTCCGGATTTTCCCCCCAACATTTAGAATTTGAACTTCATCATAACCTACCAGTAGCACATGCAACGGATGCCACAGGTTAAGAAAATGCGATCTGAAACAAACAAACAAAAATGAGCAGTTTTGGTGAAGTACATCTGGGCAGTAGTCAGAGTTTGAAGACTGAAGATTTCTGAAAACATTTTGAGGCTCACGTCGCTGGTTTTGCCACCCTCTATCAGTGTAATGGTTTAGCTGTCTGCCGTGTCAGCACAGAATAAATGGTATCTTTGGTGTAGCGGTTAGATCGTGCTTTTCTGTCGCCCACAGGAGGCCCGAGTTCGATTCACAAGTGGGGGGGGGGGGGAGGTTTTTTTTTGGAGTAAATGACTCGGTCTTTTTGCTGGGGTGTTGGGTCCCTCTCAGACTCTCAGCTGGGTTGGCCGCCTCGTAAATGATTTAAAATACGTTGGTTTCTTCCTGTTTTTGTTTTTGTTGTTTTTTAAAATTGTTTTTGGTTTGGGGTTTATCTTGGAAAGAGGATGGGGGGGGGGGGGGGGCTGTCAAAAACACGCACTTCGTTTGGGTAGTTTTAATTTCGTTTTTTTTACCTTATATTGAAAAAATCTATTAGTGCATTACCTACTACACCCCCATAGGGACAATTTAGGTCATTTAACTAAAAATACAACTAACAGATTATTTATTAGGCGGGCTTCGTCCCTGCTTGTCAGGACTAGCCCAAGCTGAGAAGGATACGATATCCCAGAGGAAAGACCGAGATCTTCGATATATAACAATTCACCCAAACGCCACCTTTCCTTTCCCCCTTGCAAATCGAACTCGGGTCTTCTGCACGCGACCCGGAAAGTCCTGACCGCTGCACTACCGACATGATCTGAGGTGTGAAAAAGAAGTGAGTGTTTCCTGAAGGAACTTAAGTACATACCGACATGACTCATTGAGGAAGTCGCAGATTTCTCATACCACGCTGTACACGTATTAGAATTATGATATCGTCATAAAACAATTAATGTATCACGTCCAGCTGGTGTTATCAAAATTAATATTTCATTGCTGATGCTCAAGTTGCCCGTCTGTATAGTGGAGACATAATCATTGTCTGGTTATTTTGATATCATTATATCTTGATATTTGACGTTGTTTGCACTTTCGTAAACGTTTATGTCGTATGGAGATAACACATTTAATTTAGCCGAGAGTTTTGGGGCCGAGTCAAATGTCGGTGTGACCTCGATGCCCTCGTCTTTTGAAGGGATTGAGGCAAAGATACGTTTTTGTGTACAGCATCTAAAGTGTTTTGCCAAGTTTTCTAAATATTGTTAATTTTTTCCTGTCAAAACTGAATGGTCTAAAACGTTTGTGGTTTTTTTGTGTGTGAGAGCTTAAGTGGTCTTGTGTGTGTGTGTGTGTGTGTGTGTGTGTGTGTGTGTGTGTGTGTGTGTGTGTGTGTGTGTGTGTGTGTGTGTGTGTGTATTTGTCTTTTTCATTGTGCGTAGGTGGATGTATTTTTGTGTGCGCGTATGTTTTTAAGTATGGAGACCATGAAAGAAGAAGAAAAGAAGTGTTTGTGTGTCTCTTTGTATGCATGTCCTCGCTGCTGGAAGTAGTAAGGATAAACACAAAAATAAGACATTCTCTCCCTCGGTCTCTCTCTCTCTTTCTCTCTCTCTCTCTCTCTCCCTCTCTCTCTTTGTGTGTGTGTGTGTGTGTGTGTGTGTGTGTGTTTTCCATGCGTTTTATAAACTGTCTTCTTCCATCTCTTGCTCTCATCCCCCCTCCCCATATATTTTTCTTCCAAGTATTGTATCATTTACCAATCCACCTTACCGAAACCCGTGTTCTAGTTACATGTTTTTGTAAAATATTATTTCAAAATTTTGAATGGGTGGCTGGTGGGTGTTCTGGTGTGGTTTGCTCCTTCTTTCCTATCAAACATCTATCGTCCTTTTCTCCCCTTCTTCTTTTTTTATGTTTGTGACTCTCTTGTAACACCTCTAATGTTCTGGCACTCATATAATCTTATGCAGTTGCGAGCGCCGTAAAACGTCTACTAAAACTTTTTTTTTTTTAAATTTCGAAAGTGAAGTATTCCAGAGAAATGTCAAGCTGAATAACAGGCAAAAGCTTTCCTTATTGGGTTTGGAGAGAAGACCTCTACAATAAAATAATTTCTAAAAGTAATGATTAGATATATATGGGGTTTTTTTCTCGTACGTCACTAATCAATGCATACATTTTGGAAGGTTGCTTCTTTTTTTGTTTTTTTGTAGTTTTTTTTTCTTTCTTTTTACTCAATATTATTGATTGTTCACTAACGTTTTTAAAACCGTACGACACAAAACATAGAATTTAAGCGTATCTTTGTTTTATTCTATTTATTTATTATTTATTTTGTTGTTGTAGACATTATCGCCTAAAACACAATTATTATTGTTGCTTTTTTTTTTTTTTTACATTACCACTCAGTGTATTGTGTTCTCGTTCATACCTCTTAAAATACTCATTTTGGGTTTTTTTAATTATTCATTTATTTATTCATTCTTCTAAATTTCTTCTTTCTTTCTTTTTTTTTTAATTTTGGGAAAAGATGATACGCCTTAAGACAGATTTTTACGTTTATAATTTCTTTACGTTATCACCGAGAACTTATATTTTTATTTAGATCTAACATTTTAAAAATTATATAAATGATATAAAATGATAAAATTACCTCTTAATGCAGACAATTTTATTTATTACTTTTAAAACCGCCCCCACTAAATGCAAATATCTTAATTGTATTTTCGTTGGACGTTGTCGCTCTGTACACATTTTAGATTTCTACTTAATGTATACATTTTGTTAATTTTTCTTTTCATATGACCACCTAATTCACACATTCTGTTGTGTTTTCTATTTTACATGTTTTCTTTTGTGTATCACCACTTGGTATGATTACATTTTATTATTATCATCATTATTATTATTATTATTGTTATTATTATTATTATTATTGTTATTATTATTATT